TCTGCATTCTTTCTTCAGAAGAAGCAGAGAAAGCCTGTGTCACACAGATAATGATGTTAAAGTGGGAAAAAGGTTCCTTTCATTTTTCCAAACTCACCAATCGAATTAGTCTGTACTCATGGGAATTGTTGCCCTTTCATAGAAAAATTAGGAATGGAGAATCACTCTGTTTCCCGACATCTGGACATTTCCATCTACAAGTGTTCTGAGGCAGTGGGGGTCACTGATTGCTCCAGATCCATGCAGATGTATATGTATAAGCACATATATTGAAGTTTATAGAAGCTGATACTACAGGATATACAGAAAGTACTGGCTAATAAATGTCTTAAAAAGATTTATTTCTTCAACATGCAATTTGAGTTTTTCTCATTTGTGGTCTAGGACAATAAACCATTTGTGTGTGTGTGTTGTGTTGGACCTCAGAGTTCCGACACAGATTGACAATAAACCCTATTGTAAAGAGTATGGTCAACTTGTTTGCTTGTCTTTTGGTGTCTTCTTACCTATAAATTAAGCTCTTGAAATGCATTTTTTTAAAAAAAGTACTGGCTCGTGTTTGATTATGTAGTGCTGATATGGCTCTTCCAGAAGTGGCAGAGACAGGAAAGCTTCTGCTTATTGAGAAAAGATTATCTGAATGGGTTTCATTATGGCCTTCTTCATCTAAAGTCATGGAGGATGTTGGCATTTTACTTAATTGTTGGTAGTATAATGGATTCATATTAGGATGATTTTGTTCATTCTAATGATAGCATTATTAATTTTATAGCAATTATAATTATCTGTATTTTTCTCAGATTGTTTTAGAATATATAAATGCTTTCACTGGCTACAGATTGGTACATTTATTGGTTTTGTTTTATACATTAGGTGATTTGCCTACAAATTATTGTGTTAATAAGAATTTAGTCAATACTTTATAGATTTTGTAGATTACAAAAATATGGAATTACAGATTCACTGGAAGCTTAACATTTTGCATTTCATTATGGTTCTTTTCCTTTTTATCATGAAAGAAGTCATAATATTTCTGATAATTCCAGTGCTAGAAGAAATCAGGTCCCAGTTGTCCTATATGCCTATAGCAGTCTTAATTTTTTGGAAGAAACCAGGAAATGGCCTCTTTATTCTATCTTCAGGATGAAATGGCCACTGCCAGTTTACCTTTCAGGCCTTCAATGCCTTCTCAGTAATCTTTCACTAAACTTTCCATCAAAAATTCCTAGGAGGGATTTCATGAGCAACATAGGTACTGTAGTCGACTTTGGGGAAATAATGGTGCTCCTGAACCAGAAAGTTATTTTATTTCAAGTTATATTTGGACTACCCAATCTCTGATATATATTAATCATAACAAATACAGTAAAGCCTCCATAGTTAACCACCTCCCCACATTGACCACCTCCTTTAGTTGACCTAATTTGCATGGACCAGACTCACCACATGCATTATCAGTACAGCAGGCCTGGTTCCTTATGTTGACCACCTCTGTATGTTGACAAGTTTGTTACAATCTTTTGGGTGGTCAACTTACAGAGGTTCTACTATATGTATGATAATTGTTTTTTAATGCAATTGAGGCAAAGTGAAAGAAATAGAGCTATATTTGTTTTTTTTTGTTTGGGTTTCTGCATTTCTAACCTTTATGCCAAGGCAAAATAAATTTCACTATTTTCTACATATTTTTGTAGCAGTATTAAGGCTATTTTAATTCAATTAAACCAGATAGGTTACCACAGAGCAGAGCTTCCCAACCAACACAGCAAAACACAATAGCCTCCAGGCCAGTGAGATACTGATTCTTCTGTCTTCAAGGTGGCCAGCGAGGACTGGGGGGAAATGGGAACTGCCATGCCTGTCAATAGCCTGGAAAAGCCTAACTTCTCATTCTAGCTTGTTGACAATTATCATCTTGTTATATTATGAGAAAAGTCAGAAAGCAATGCTACCAAGCACAGGAAAGGTTTACCCTACTTTGCACAATGAGTATAATCTGTATCCATTTGCTTGTTATTTTTCCAAGAGTTGATTATTGAAAAATATGTCCTTAGACTGAGAGTCTTCAAGTGAATATCAATACATTATATGATTTTCTTCAATAAAATGCAATCAAGTATAACTGGAAAAATTAAGCAATTACTTAATGAGTCAAAACATAAAGGATTAGAGGTAGTTTTAAAGCTTTTAAAATAAATTCTGGCTGAAACATACAGTAAAACAGCATCATAAATTTTCATATAGAGCTAATGTATATCATGCCCAAAGGGAACATTTAACTTTTTAAGTTACCCTTGGCCTTTCTCTTCTCTGGTTAATAAACTGATTTAATTTTCTTCATATCTTTTAAATAACTTATTGCCCAAATTAACAGTTGGCTTTCTTTCTCATACTTTTCATTTATGTAGACATAGAAGTTTCTGCCACTGCATAACGTATTCCACATATTATGGCTACTAGACGATGTTGGCGTGCAGGTTGTGAGCAGTAGGCAAATCTCTATCTGTATCCACAGAATTGATTTCTGCACATCTTTCTGGTGGGGGAAAATCCAAAACTATGCCTCAGCAAACTCAGGGAGTCACGGCTCTCTGGGTACGCTGACAACACAAATGTTATATCTTTCAATGTAAAACATCTATTGAACTGAATTTTCTCAAAGGGTCTATTTTTCTTTCTTTAGTGAAGGCAGAAATACTATTTATTTTAGTGCCTGGAGATTCAGCTGTTGATGCAACGTTTGTAAAGAGAAATTAGAAATTGTTCTTTATTATATATGCCCTGAATCCACTAACAAAGCAATTGAATAAAGTGTTCTCCAGGGGTGAAAGGAAAGACCATATGCCAATCTATTTATCTTCTCTGCCACCTCTGATCACACTCTACCCTTTCCTGTCTGTGACTTCGTTTGTGTACAGGTCAAATTACCTCCATTTTATTGTATCTTTGCCCTGGCAGGAGGCAGTACTCTGATCAACAAATGGGCTGTTATTAGCCACCTCCCTCTTAACACTATCCCTTTAGACACAATACAAAAGCAATTTTAACTGATTGTATTGTTCCTGGAAGACAAATATCGACAAGAGCTGTGCCTACACTACTAAGAAAGATGTACCACATTCATCTCCGTGAAAATGTAACTGTCAAAGGATTTCACCTTATTGCTTATTTGGTGCATTTTTCAAAAAAAAAGTAATCACATTAATAATAATTATAATGAGGTATATGCATAAGTCATTGAGTTTAAGTAAAAAGGTTTGATGTTTTGTCCACTGGTTTATGATTTCAAGGGAGTTTTATCTTCTGATTTATGTCCAGTGGTCACTAACTCTTCACTGTTTAACTCCCATACACATGGAAGTACTAAGCCAACATAGTTAATGATTGGTGAAATACCTGTATGCTTAAAATCCATCAAAGACTTTTAAAATATATGTCTAACCCTAAAAAAAAAACACCCCATTTTATAAATGTAGCTTTTATTTCAGTTACTTTTAACATAAAAGGCATGGCAACACGTGTATGTTCAGAGGCAGAGTCCTCTATACTTTATAGTAATAACAACGACTATGATTTGAGTTGTCAGTTAGTTGTTTCACAAATCTTAGTGGTCAGCTCTTTCATAAACCTTTTAGGTAGACGGTGCTCTCCCAATTTACCTGATTTATTAACTAAGGATCTAGAGACTTCAGTAATGTGCCCTAGGTGATTCAATCTCAATAGAGCAGAACCTAGAACCCAGGCACAGTTGAATCCAAAGTCTATGGTCCTTTTTGTTTTCACACTACATTTGCTCGTTGGCCCATGTTGTATAATTTTTGGAGCCAGGAAGTTGAATCTTCCAGAGGCTCACGGCTCATTCGTTTGTCCCAGAACAAATCATCTCGATCCTCCGTTTTCTGACCCTGGCACATCACACAAAAATAATTAATATTTTTGCCAAATAGATTTTGTGCTAAAAGCATGAGTTCTTTGCCCTGAACAAGACAACTCAGTCTGACAGTGGATTTTGGTCTGTATAGGGTGACCAGATTTTAACTTCGGTAAGGCGGGACAACATGGTGGGTGGGGGACCGGGCAGGGCAGGGCCTGACAACAATGCAAACTTTGATAAGCAGTTCTAGATAATCACATCTCAGCAATTATTTGTTATTATTACAGTTTAACATTATAAAATTAACAAAAATAATATAAAACTCATATTCTGGTGAAATAGCCACATGGCAGCGGAAAACCGTATATTCCCTTCTTGTTCTCCTGCCCATTCGTGCAATTCTTTCCAAAAATCGGGACTTTTTTAAAACGCCACGGGGTCACGGGACAAATTGTTGAAAAGCGGGATGTCTGGTCACCCTAGCTCAGTACCGTGTTGCTCGTGCTGTCCTTGCCCCTTGCCCCTTGTTCCTCCTGTAGAATAATCCAGTTCACCTATCTTCTGGAAAGTAATCCCCAAACCTAGTACAGTTCACTTAAAAATGTCTGCAAATAAACAGCATTAGTCCAGGAGAAAAGGACCTCAATAGGGCTGGCGCCTTCCTTCTCTTTTATGCCTTTCTTAATTTTGGACCCAGAGCACGGAATGATCCTCTGCTGGGTGCTGGTCATCTCACTATGTGTTAGGGGTAGTAAATACAGTACGGGGGAGAATAAATAAGGCTCACAACCGGTTTAGAGGAAAACCAGTTCTTACTCCTACCTTTGTTAATTTGCTAGGGCTACCATAGAAAAATACCACAAACTGGATGGTTTAAACAACAGAAACTTATCTTCTCACAGTCCTGGAGACTGAAAATCCAAGACAAATGAGTTGGTAGGGTTGTTCGTTTCTCCCAAGGCTGTTCTTCCTGCTTTGCAGACGGGTAGACAGGCACCTTCTCACTGTGCCCCCACTTGGCTTTTTCTTTGTGTGTGCCATCCCTGGTGTCTTTCATAAGGATACCCTGTAGATTTCATTTGGCTTTATTTACATCTTTAAAGACCCCATCTCCCAGCATAGTACCATGAAGGCTCGGGGTGCATTGTATGAATTTGGTCAAAGTGAGTCAAATACTGTATGCATGGTAGCAGCACGAATGGTTCAACCACAGGTTCAAATCCCAAGTCTGCCACTTCCTATTTCTGTAATCATTGAAGTGAGTGTATGTGTGTGTGTGTGTGGTGGGGGGCGGGTGATCACCTTGTCTTGTCTTGGTCAGGAACATTGGTGAAGTTTCTTGACCCTAGGGCTTCCTTTGTTAACTTATAGGGACAATAAAAGGATCTAGTTTTTAGGGTTAATGTCAATTGCTTTGCGTCTGTTTAGTTAGGAAGCTGAAATAGGAGTTTGCTGTTGCTGGTATCGGAATGGTTCTAAAGGTGATGTTACTCTTTCTTTTCTAGAAACAATATCAAAGGAACTGTGAGTATAAAATGTAAGAGAAAAGAGGAAATCAAACACTTTAATTGAGAGGTATTGATTTATTTTATTATAATGTGAAGATAGGCCCAATACAGAGAAGGACAGTTTAGATTGCTAAATTTGTAGCGTAAATAATTCCTTTTACACATCTTTGTTGAGCACTTACTCCTTGTCAGAAATTGTTGTCAGGATATGGGAGACAGCAGTGGACAAAATCGACAGAAACCACACTATTCCGCTGCCACTTACATTCTAGAATGGCTATGTGTCACCTCCACCACGTTTAACGCCCGCACACCCCACATTGGGAGAGTTTATAAGACACATCAAACAGAAGAGTTAAGGTAAATCCGTTTACAACTCATCCGCAGGGTTGACATTAATTTATCTCGCCGGCAGAATACAGTCACAGGAGCCACACTGATTCTGGGGCGTGTTGGCTGGGCTGCCCTAAGCCCTGATTCTTCGTACGCGGCTCTGAACTACCGTGACCCCAGCTCGCCGCCCTCCCTGCCCGACTGCCGCGCGCGTGGCGCCGGGTCCCCGCCAGCCCTGCCGCCGTCGGCCCGCCCAGCCCGCAGCCACCGCACGGGCGCCGGCTTTAAACTGGGCGCTCGCACGGAGGTGGAGTGCCGCGCCCGGCGCCCGGCGCCCCGACCTGCAGGTCCCCAGTCCAGGCGCAGTGGTCACCCAGGGTCCGAGCCACTTGCGTGGCTGGGTGCGTCCTGGCTCACGTCACCAATTTGACAGCCTCTCACCAAATCAGAGGACTGCGCTGGCTGGCCGGGGGCTCCGAGCCTCACCCGGGGCTCCTGCGGATTAGAACTCGCCTCTCCTAGCTCCTCCCTCAGGTCGCGTTTAAAGCTCCCGCTGGCTTTACGGAAAAATTAAGATTGGGCTGTGTTTGTGCTGCGCTTTCTACCCCTGCACCATGGTAAGTGAGGAACTGGCGTTAGCTAGTCCGCTGGCGAAACCTGGGTCTCTGAAAGCTAATAAGCTTTCTTTGCATTGAGAATCTATCCCATTTGGGAGCAAGAGTTCTCTGCTACCTGCCAATAAAATCAGACCTTCTGTGCTGCCCTGAATCCCTTTATTATCTTCTATCTTCCCGGCGCAGGCTCCTGCTCTGCTGCCTGTGTCTGTCTGTCTGTCTCTCTCTTTCTCTCCTGATTTCATTCTCTCTCTCATTCATTCTCTCTCTGCCCCCCCCCCGCCCTCTTGTTCTTTCTACTCTCCTTACTTTCTCCCCAACTTTCTCTCTCCACCTGCACTCGCTGTTCATTCCACTGCTTCCTCCAGATTATGCACATATTTGCTAACACTTGGACCTGAACTCGTCCAGGAGTATTTGAAGTTTGTTTTCATCTCAGGTGTCAATTGCATAATAGTTTAGCTCTGATTCCACTAATAACCTCAGGGAAGGAGTCTGCAAACACGCTCTTAAAATAAAAGAACGCAGCACTTCGTAAACTTTGGTGGAATTCCTTTGGCATGCACTGCCCAAGGTGGACTTGCTTAGGAAATGGACTTTTTCAAAATCGAACTTACAGGGAACATTAACAAACTGTGATTTAATTGACTTAGTTTTTTTCTCTTTTTCTTTTTGTTTTCTCTCTGTTTATGTTATGCCCAACAAAGTACTCAGGTCAATACAAGACTGGTAGTGGTCAAAAAGGGTTTTTCCAAAGTTGGCTCTGCTAGAATGAATGGCTTTTACCTGATTAAACATTGACAAATAATTAGGAATGGGCTGTTGTACAAATTAACCTAGGAAGGCTGCATACCTACCCCCGCTTGGACATTTGGAAAGACTGTGTGTTTAGAGTTTGATGTTTGAGGAGGGTGTGGGGGAGGGCGTAGAGTGTTCACTGGATGAGAACACAGCGCAGAAAGCCGGCCACTCAGTGACAGCCAGACAACTTTGGAAGGGCACCGAGCCCTGGGGATGGAGAGAACTGGAGCTTGCTGTCTTTGCTGATGGGTTTGCTCAGGCCTGCTTATGTATCTATAGAGCAACCTCGTGTACCTGTGCTCAGTGTTGGGAGCAAAATTTACTAACAGCTCTGAGACACGCATAAATGGATGGATAGATAGATAGACAAAATAAACCATTTATAATCAATCACCATGATCCAGCAGCTCATTAGGTCAGATGGAGGAGGAAGGGAGGAATAAGGCAAGGAAAAGATTCAAAACTACAATGAGGACGTTAACCTCTACCATATCATAAACTGCTGATTTCAGCTTTAGATTTCTGGGGTCTTTGTCTTCCAAGGTTCTTAGAAATATAATTATTTGCCAGAGAGAACCAGATAGCTCTTATGTCTTTGAATCATTAAGTGGCATTCCTTTTACTTAAAGCCTGGGTAGCCTATCAGATGTACTAGGCTTTGCAACAGAGAATATTCCTGGATATTTACAAATTTGGCCCATCCAATACCAGTCTGTTCTTTGCTTGGAAGGCCTAAGAAAATTGCTGTGTAAACCAAGGAGTTGATTTCCTTTTAGTAATTGTAATGTGACCACTCAAAAATTAATCTGGATCTACATTTAACCCCTCTCTTGGTTTTTATTATTCACTGCATGTAATTTCTGTATGTTTCTCCCATCTTTTCTCCCCTCCAAATCCTCATCACCCTATCTCCTGGGACACCCGACCCCCACTGAATTTCACAGAACACCATTCTGCCTTGCCAAGACCAGTACTTTGTAGGAGACCAGAGCTATAATTGTGCATATTCCACTACAACTTCAGAATCTAGTGTTGACGTTTCCACGGATACTTGGGTCTCTTTCTGGGCTGCTGGTCTCCTGGACAACAGAGAGCCCCAACAAGCACCACAGGCACAGGGTAAGTTCTGCTCTTCTGCTTTCCTGGTAGGTCCGGACCCCTTTTCCAGGACCCCTGACTGCAAAGCATTATGGGCTGGGATTCTCTAGAAGAAGGGATGCTATGGAAAATTTAAGTAAATCCAAAGACTCCTGAATTTCAAAGCCATAAAACCTGATGTAAAGTACTCCCAGATAGTGTGAATGGTATTTCATCTCTCGCCCACTGGAAAACGTGTATTTCTTTCTACATGTTGTAGTACTTGGAGATTCCCAGCTCACTGAAGGATTTTGGTTTGAATCAAAGTTTGATAAACAAAACTCTAGCAGAACACTTTTAGAATCAAGATAATTAGAACATTTCTTTCAGAATTCAGGAAAGTTTCCTTCATTTTGAGAGGAAAGCAAGAAATACTAACTTGGTCATTCATTTCATAGAGGAAATTCTATGAATAGTGTCTTAGGAATGGAAAAATGATTCCTTTTTACTTAAAAAAGACTTCGACTTTGGAGGAAAGTATAATATTGGTGGCAAATTACATATTAATTTTAACCTGTAGCTGTGTAAACGGGGCTTATAAATATTAAAGGTGTTTCTGTGTTAACACTCGGGTTTTAGAAATACTCTCAAATACCTCAGAATTAAATATCTATACTGCTGGTTCTACTACATGATTTTTGTTGTTTGAGAAAAGATACTAATAAACAAACAAAAAAGCCCTTCAATATTAACACACACTTAACGTTAGGCAGGAAGTTGTTCTGTTTTTGCTGATTACTATAAGCAACAGCAATGACAAAATGACCAAGAATTTAAAGCTAAACTGTTTATAAACATGTTTTCTTTTCTCCATACTCATCATTTCACTTTAATCAAAAATACTTGAGTAACAGCAGTTCGGGTCAAGTAAGGCAAGAGTCAGAACTGGACTAGATGAGGAAAAGAAAGTAGAAGTACTGACAGGTAGAGCTTGCTACTCTCTCTCTCTGTCTATATAAAATCTCTTTGAAAAACATTGAAAAATATACAAATGACAACAGTTGAAATAAGTAAGTTTTAGGTACAGTTTTGAACTTTTCGTGAAGGTCTTCAGAGAAGCAAGGTCCAAATTATATTAAAATAAAAAGTTCTACCCCATGAAATTCTGAATAAACTTAAAATTGGCTGGGAAAATGGTGTCCTCACAATCAGATTTGATTATAAAGCATCACAAAAACTATAACGATATTGTCCAATGCTCTGCAATGTAGGAGAGACAATAAAAATCAGAAAAACATAGTGGAATTACAACGTTAATGTGCATGAAAGGAGACATTTATAACTATTTGAATGAATTAATGACATAAATGAGACAGTCTTTATTAATTAACCATCAGGAATACATATGTCAGGAAAGAACGTGACCCCTTACCTCGAAAAAAATGCATCTCTTACCCAGTTTGGTAAATTGTGTATAAATATTTGCCTCTCACAGCTGGCGTGGCTCTTCTGAAAGCATTAGAGATTTTGTTTTCCTATGTAGAAACAATAGCTGTTTTCCAGAAAGATAATTTGACCTGTTAAGCTATCCGAAATCATTTGGTGAGTTCTTTTATTGCACACAAACTGCAGGTATTTTCTTGGTTATCCATTTGATATTTTTACAGAATCATCGCAGGGCCCCAATTTTCCTATTCTGGACTCATGTTCATGGGAAGAGGCACAACTTTCCTCCCAACTGTACAGAAATAAACAGGTATGTGTAGAGAGAACAATGCTGTGTGGCCTGTAGTCTACTCTCCACTGAGTCCACCCTCAGAGCCACATTGATTCTTCTCCCTTTTGAAATTCCTGTTGATTCAGTTTAGAATCCACAGAGAGATCAAAGTTGGGTGATCAATGTTGCAGAAATGAAAAACAAGCGAGGTGCTCTCAGAAGACCTGCAGACAAACTCTGACTTGTTAGCTTCATGACCTCTCGAATCCTCCCTTTCCTCATCTGTGGAACTGGGGTATTTGTGCTGCCTCTTTCAGAGGGGTGTTGGAATGATCCAGTGATATAATGACCATAACAGTCTTTGGAACCTTTAAGCATAGCTGATACTGGGGGAAGGGATGACAACTGTAAGAGTTTTTACAGAGATTGCTTCATGTTTTATGTTTTGTTTATTGTTGCTTCTGAAGAGTAATTTAATCCAGCAGAGAGGTCAGCCTGAGTGGGAAGGAAGCCAACTCACCTCTTCTGATTTATTTATTTTGTTTCTTGAATGTGCAAAGAAAACGTCCAACAAAACCTTTCTATTCACTTTTTTCTATATTTAAACAGTTGTATGTAACTCATTTTTCTTCATATGTACCTGATTCCCTTGCGGTTATGATTTTAAAAGCCATATAATCTTGTCAAACACTTCACAATGAATTAAAATTCAAAACACACATCCAAACAATCAGGTGTTAGGGGCTATAGATTTAATTTAGATCTCTGAGGACTAGGGCTCCCTGAGGTCGTGGTGTTCACAAAATAAATAAAGAATAATCAGGTTTAAGCAGGGTAAGGAGCAGTGGCACTAATATAAGGTTCCAAAGTCAATAGAGGGGAACAGCCCTCACCCTTCTCTGCGTTCTGCAGCTCCAGGATACTCTGGTACAGAAGGAAGAAGAACTAGCTCGGTTACATGAAGAGAATAACCACCTCAGGCAATACCTGAATTCTGCTTTGGTTAAATGTCTGGAAGAAAAGGCTAAGGTATGTAACTATCTCATTGCTGAGAATGGAGCAGTGATTTGAGAAAGGAGACCATTTGGGTAAAACTGAGTCCTTGATTGAATGCAAGAAGTGTACTAAACAGTGAGTCTTGATAAGTATTTATAGGATGGATAGATTTTTCTTAGGGAAATACAGCACTTTCACAAGAATGTTTATGTATCATTTTTCGGAAGTATCTAGATTGCAGACGTTAGCCATAAATTACAGAAAGAATGGCTTAAGAATCCAAAGCTAGTCAAGGGAATTGCTGAGACAACAGAAGCTCATCAGAAGGCAGTTAGATGGATGGAACCTTGCAGTGGGAATCAGGTCTGAGAGACAGTTTAATTATCCGTTTGACTGTAGGGAAATTGCCCTCACTTAGGGCCTCGGTTATCTTCACCTGTAATGGATGGGCTAGATATCTTCTGAATCTTTCCAGATCTCAAATGCTATGAATATGGCTGGAGCCCAGATCTCTTGACTGACAATTAGGCATCCACGGTTTAATTTGCATTTTCCCCTACACTTTTAAATAGAGCTATGTCTAACTCCAGGATAAATGGCTTGCCTGTAGTCTCTTTTTTTCCTTCCTTTCTTTGGTTTTTCAATTTTTTATTACCTACTGGTCATTATGTGATTGTTATTACTTCTATCATCAATCTTTTCCTCACTTCCAGACAAGTTACATTTATGATATTATGTAATCTGAATTGATGAAGCTTCTTGCTCTATTACCAAGTATAACAGTTCAGAGAAGAAAAGCTGCTGTATTAAGTAACTTTGCAATTCATTTAGCTTTATTAAAAAGGGAACACATTCATTAACCTGGGCTGCTAACTCCAACTACCATTTTGTGAAAAAGACTGTTACAGGACATTTATGTAATTATTGTGATGTTAATTAGGCAGGCCTAGCTCTCAATCGGAAAATCAGTCTCAATTTTGCAGGAGTTAGAATAATGCAATAAATAACATTTCTCTTAGAAATGCTTTGAAATTAATGAAAAAAGAGGAAATGATGTATAATATTTACATCAGAGGTTCTATCTAGATTCAGATGGCTTAGGACAGCGGTTCTCAACCGGTGAATCATGACCCCTTTGTAACAATGAACATACATCACAGCATTAGGAAGGTTGAGAACCACTGGCTTACGGGAACCTGTGGCCTTCTGGATCCTTGAACATGACCCTTTGACTGCATACAAATTTTTCAGAACAAATCCTTTTATTAAAAGGGACAGAACAGAGAAATATGAAGCTTTTCTTCCTTCCTCTGCTACTTAAAAAAAAACAAAAAAACAATTTGGCTGGGCACAGTGGCTCATGCCTGTTATTCCAGCACTTGAAAGGTCAAGGTGGGTGGATTGCCTGAGCTCATAAGTTTGCCACCAGCCTGAGCAAGAGTGAGACCCCATCTCTAAAATATAGCTGGGAATTGTGGCAGGTGTCTGTAGTCCCAGTTACTTGGGAGGCTGAGGCAAGAGAATTGCTTAAGTCCAAGAGTTTGAGGTTGCTGTGAGCTGTGACACCATAGTGCTCTATGGAGGGTGACAAAGTGAGACTCTGTCTCAAAAAATAAATCAATAAAAATAAAAAATAAAACAATTTTGAAATTATAGGATCACAGGTTCCCCACCCCCGGTAGGCTGCATGAGCCTTAGCAAGTCACAAATAGGGTTTTGCCTTAGTTTCCTCATTCATAAAAGTTTTAATGACATCTCTATCCAATGAGAGAAAGCATATAGGCAAGAATTCATAAATTATGCTATATGATAGTTTATCAATAAATGATAGCTCTGTAAATGATAGTTGGTATTTTTGTCATCATGGTTGTTACTATCATCATCATCATAATTACTTCCCTGAGTTGAAATCCTATAGATACCACCTGCCTTTTTCAACTTTTAAAAAAGAGTAAAAATATGAATTAGAATTTCCAGGTAGTACCTTATCATTATAGATTTTATTTGATAAACAAGCTAATGCAATCCGTTGTGCTTGTGTATGGAAAATGAGAAATTTATTCAACTTTTTCTAAATAATTAAGGTAACTAGCCAATATTTGAAGGTGTTATAATTTTCAAATATCCCTTCCCTAGAAATTGCTGTCATTCGATGAGTTCTCCAAAGTATGTGGAAAATTCAGAAAGGGGAAGAGGAAACCCAAAGAGAAAAGATACTCTCCTGCTGAAATTCCCCATCCCAAAAATGCCAAGAGAAACCTCTCTAGTGAATTTGATAACTGTGAAGAACAAGCTGGGCCCCCTGTGGATCCCTGGGTCCTTCAAACGCTTGGTTTAAAAGATCTCAACACCATCGATGACACCTTGTCAGCTAACTACAGTGCCCTGTCCTCTGAGCCCAGAAGAGTCACCAGCACATTTTCTCAGTTTCCAGACGATGCAGTTGATTATGAAAATGTCCCCAGAGAGGATCTGGTGATTGACTCTGGAGGTGACAGAACAGCCTCCTTCCACAGCACTGCCACTCACAGGGAAGATTTTCACTCCCTTTCGCAACTTTCAAATCCCCCAGTGGGGCTGCAAAATCTTCCTTACTATACTGCTAATGTGTCACACAACAAGACCGAGATGGCCTTTTCCACATCCCTGAGCCCTCACTGTAACGTGAAAACTCATTCCTTCCACCAGGGACAAGCCTTTGTGCGTCGAGATGAGGAGGGAGGCTGGAAGTTTACATGGGTCCCTAAGCAGTCTTAGTGATCCTTCTATCACAAAGCACTGCCGTGAACTCTGTTTACAAAGACCCCGCTTGCACTTGTTCCTGACTATGGTGGAACACAGAAGCTATTGCTTAGACTGTCTCCTGCCACTTTAAACATCATTCCAGTTACCCACTTACATCTGTGGGAATGGCTTCCAAGAATCCATAAGGAAACGTGTCCGTCCTTTCTTCACCTAAATTTGACTTGTTTACATGCTCACACCTGCTGGTGACTTCTTCTTTCCCTGCTTGAAAACCTATTTTTCATTCACTTGTATATTCCTTGAAGACCTAGATACGTGTGTACTTTCCAATTATAACCATTTCCCAGGCTTCCTCCTTTCCCCGGGCTGTTGAATATTCAAAGCACTTTTATTTCTCTCTCTCTTCTGCTCTTTATGGTTGGAAACTGTCTTTAGAGTGAGCCCTATTTTGCTTCAGGTACTTACTGCTGAGTTGGGGACAGGTATCACTGGCCGTCACTAGTACTCCTGAAGACATAATACGGATGTGGGCAATGTTATCTTTAGGGAGGTTCAAATACTTAAATGTCACACGGTGGCATTAGCAAAGAGTCTCTTATAATAACAATAACTCATAAGCAATCCCACTGATAAATTTTAAAAATTAAAGAGAATGAATGCGACTTTGACATGTCCCATGGTGTATTAGCTTTTGTAAACACCTGGCATTGGTTCTTTCACCAGTGTGACTTGAGCAAGAACATTTTTGAGAGACTGTGGTAATAATACAAGTCATTACCTGAAATTACCCCAAACCACAATGAGATATGACCTTAGCCCTGTCAGAATGTCCATTATTCTCTGTCAATTTGACAGGCATGTGGTGGTTAGATATGAAGAGAGCAGAGAAATATGAAGCTTTTCTTCCCTCCTTTGCTACTTAAAAAAAACAAAAACAAAAACAAACCATTTGGCTGGGTGTGGTGGCTCATGCCTGTTATCCCAGCACTTGGGTGGTTGAGGCGGGTGGATTGCCTGAGCTCATGAGTTCGACACCAACCTGAGCATTTTATATATAATAATAAATGGTGCATTTATTAAAAGGTGCATTTTATATGTAATAATATATAATAATGAAATTATTATATAATATTTTATATTATAATAATGTAATATATAATATCAATATATTATAATATTTATATATAATAACAAATAAAACAATGAATAATAAAAAAGAAAAATAAATGTGACTCATTTATAGTTAAAATTAGAAATTGTTGCTCTGATCATATTATTCCTTTCTAATACTTAAGAGTCCATTTCTCAGGTTAATTCAGTCTTTGTGCAGATAACTCGATTAATGTTTAAATAAATGTGCATAGATTCAATGCAAGTATTGACATCAAGGATTTAACTGTTTCTAAACTTTAAAAATGTATTTTTTAAATTAAATCATAGCTGTGTACAATAATGCATTTATGGGGTACAATGTGCTGGTTTTATATACAATTTGAAATACTTGCAACAGACTGGTTAGCATAGCCTTCACCGCACTTTCTCAATTAGTGTGTTAAGACATTTATGCTCTACACTTAGTAGATGTGACATGCACCCTTGTAAAATGCACCATTTTGAATGTTCATTCTGCTTTTCTTCTTTCCCATTCATCAAGCTCACTATCATTCTCGGAATGATGTAAAGATCTGAGATGTACACCTGTGTTTTGGGGGGACAAATTTCAGTGAATGATAAAATCTGCCATGCTGAAACCCATCCCCACATTTCTCTTTTCCCTTCTCAATAAGTAATCTTACATAGCCAGTGTCTCCGAGGTCCAGTGTACAGTTTAGGAGTCATTGTGACAAAGAGGTGGCTTTTGTTATTGTTGCTGTTTGGGGTTTTGCTTCACTTTGGTAATATGAGTGAACAATCTGTTTTTAAAGTTTTGTGACCCGCTGGTTATTTTTAGTAATTCATGAAGGGGAATCGAAGATAGTAATTATCAATACTCTCTGAAATATTTTTCTAATTTAGGAAGTGATAGAACACATCCATTGTCTAAAGAAATAGTAGATGTATCTATATGTGCCTTTACATTCTAGTATCTGTGCCCCTGGTGGGTGAAATTTATCTCTATTTACAATAAGAAATGTAAAAATTAGAAGTGATTATACTTTTCACTACATTAGTAATGGAGAAAGCAATATAACCAATTTTGAAAATCTAATAAGCTATAAAACAAAATTAATCAATTAATAAATATTTATTTTGCATTCTTTGTGTGATTGATCATGTGTTGAATACCACGAGAAACACCCAGGCTTGGCACAATGCCTTTGATATATAAAACAAAGTCACATAAAATGTCATAGCTTTTGATAGCTTATAAATTAAACTTGCTCTCAACCTGGTTTAAAGAAATTGCAGAACATTCGGGGAAATTATATCTTGTTCTGATTTATATCATGGGCAGTACTATTGAAGAAAAATTACCACATATTCTTGCAATCATGTCTATAAACATTTGATATTGATTTAAATTATGTATAGAAAATAGTTTTTTTATGTTTGAGAAATTGAAAACTTCTTTGAGCTGAGTCTATGCCTTAACTTTTTGGCTTTACTATGTCTCTCTAGTAAACCGCAGTTAATATTTCTTAAGATAAAGTGGGAGATAATAACTAAGTACTTTTGTGATTGTGATAACCATTATTCTAGTGTACATAACATTTTCTAATAACAAATTTTGTTTTCTCCTGGGTTGTAACCTTAAGAATGTTTATTGACAGCTCTGTTGTCTGACATATCTAGCCACACTAAAATCTTCAGCATTGAGGGTTTACTGGTTCCTTCCCTTCTCTAGGGGGCATTAGATGTCACGTGGCTTATCAAGAGCAGTGCCTTAGGAGTACAGCACTCACTTGCCTACCCTTACATAAAAATTAGAGTCCAGTATCAACTTTTAAAATTTGATGAAATCTCTAATGTCCTCTGATCATCTGAGAGTGAATCATATTTTTGTGACACTAGTATCTAGAAAATGAGGACAATTGGAAAGCCCCACCTATGCAGGCAATGTTTATTCAGTGGGATTTTCTACTATATCAGTGATCCTAAACTGTAATTTTGAAAAATTTGAAGAACAATGTTATCAATGGAAAGAATCACTCTATTTGATCTAATTCAAGAAAACTATTTCTCTTAAATATGGTAGATGGATTCAACAACTGATCTATGGCACAGGTTCAGAGGAAAGTATAGAGTTAATATATGTAGCCATAACTTTTGATAAATATTACTTCGTGCCTAATGTCACAAATACAATTATACCTGTGTTTTAGTTTATCAAAAGATTCATATGAGGTTAAATATTAAATGCTTAATTTTTTAATTTTTCACTATACCAAATAGAATTGTTTGACAAGCTACAAATATATTGTGCAAGTGTATTTCTTACCATATTTATCATATTGTGTCTATATTTTTGTTATGTGAACAAAACCAGATGTCCACTTTTTTTTTATTGAATGATAACTATGTACATTAATGCACTTCTAGGGTACAGTGTGGGGTTGTCACACACAATCCGAAATACTTCCATCAAACTGGTTAACATAGCCTTCATGTCATTTTCTTAGTTATTGTTCTAAAACGTTCACATTCTACTCTTAGAAAGATTCACTTGTACCCTTGTAAGATAAACTTCAGAAGTGATCCCTCCAATCTCCCTCCCTCCACCCATTCCCCCCTCCAGATGTCCACTTTTAATTTGTTTATTCTACACTGGTAAAATATATTTATCACAATATTTTAAATGATATGATTTCTTTGTGATTTGAAACATTTCTAATTATATGTTACAGTCAATTTTGTAATAAATTTATGGCTAATAAACAAATGACAAAAAATTATTTAGTACTACTTTTGGCCCTTATTTTAGAATCATTTCTAAGTGATTGGAGCAATATACCATCAAAAAGTTTTCTATATCCATGTATGCTGTAATGTGGGTGTCACAGAAAAATAAATGTATCTCAACTTCCACATATGCCAAATAAAAATAGTACTCACAATTGAGGCATTTAATCAACAGAAATATGTATCCCATGTCAGGATTTGCTGAGGATATAAAGATACAATATCTGTTTAAAATAACGTGGGTAGGGTGTGGTGGCTCACTCCTGTAATCCTAACACTGAATTTCCTAGCAGGTGAATTTCTTGAGCTCAGGAGTTTGAGACCAGCCTATGTAACAGCAAAACTCCATCTCTACTAAAAGTAGAAAAATTAGGCAGACATTCTGGTGGGGGCCTTTAGTCCTAGCTTTTTGGGAGACTGAGGCAGGCAGATAGCTTGAGCCCAGGAGTTTGAGGTTGCTGTGAGCTAGGCTGACACCATGGCACACTAGCCTGGGAACAGACTGTCTCAATACATACATACATACATACAAACATACATAATACATAAATACACAAATAAATAACTTGGCTATAAGTGGGAGAAACATAACTTAAATATGTTTAAATATGTAAGAGGGTAATTGGCTCTCATAATCAAAAATTTAATATTTTCAGTGTGGCTAAGTCTATGTGCTCAAGGAAGGTTGGCAAGAATCAGATTTGGGATTTCAAGGAAGGTTATGATCAGGAATGGATTCTTAAATGGTGCTAAGATAGTACTCACCCCACAAAAATCATGCCAGAAATCTGTATGAGACAAGGTCTATGAGCTTATAGACCAAGCTACATCTCATAAAATATTCCTTAGTTTTCAAAAGTCTCCTTATCCTTCCCATCTATAATTCTCCCAAAATGAATACAGCCTCAGTTAAATGTTCCACATTGGTCCCGGTCACACCACGAGAAATTACAAAAAGATTAGGGTATCTGCATATGAGAATATTGTACAGGAGTTTCCTGAGGCCACCATGTAGATAAGCCATATATCCTTATCAAGAAGATTAGAATCAAGAGAACATAGTTTGGAACTTACAAGACAGGCTGGTAACCCACATCTACATGGAGATTCTC